TCTAAAATACAATCTTCAAAATAGAGTTCCAGATATTATAATGGTTTTGATTTGGCTTATTTACTTATGGCAAAGCCCTCAAGGACTATCTGCCTAAGAGGAGGGCTGCCTTCGTGGAGGACCTTTCTAAGGGAAACTGTCTCGTATCCACGTTACACATGGGGAAAACCATGAAAGCGCCCATGCAGCCAGTCCGTTCGCTGGATTCGAGCCTCGGACCGAACTACCATCAGTGTTCAGCGACTTTACCGCTCAGCCGCTGGTAGGCCTGTTGTAATAGTAGTACAAATACTATTCTTAATTGCTGTAAGTGTTGATGTTGTGAGAAGCGTTTTCTAAATAAAAATCATCTAGGAAATATTTAAGAATTACAAATGTATATTTTGTACTCATTAAATCTTTCCATACTGTCTACATATCGACCATAAAAATTAATAGACCTTTAGGATGTCACAGACGGTTTTGGGTACAAAAAGGGAAGTAAAATAATAATATAATTTTAAAATGTTGGAATTAAATTTTCTCTTCAGAAATAAACGTTTAGTTTTAATTTATTTCCCCATATGTCATTTTTACATTTTTTGTAGTTAGTTGTTTGGGTATGAAAAGGGGCGGAAATTTCAACAACCGCCTCGGCGGGTAAAACTTCTAGCTATGAGACTGAAAATCGTCTCTCTGCAGCATAATAATTACCAAAAAAAAAAAAAAAAAAAAAACCTATAACCATGGCCTCTGAAGAATTTGCCAATATTAATATGTAGAAAGATTTTGCATATTATTCGTAGACGATGCATACCCCAAGATATGCCTCACGAAATAAATAAATAAATAAAAGTCAGTGATATATATCAGAAAAAAGATAAGTCGTACAATGCAGCATGCAATTGAATCCTGATACCAGAATGAAAAAACATAATGCCAAAATCGGAAACAAATAAATAAATTAATTAAATAAAATAAATAAAGTCTGAAAGCTTTCAGATTTTATATAATGCTCAAACGTGTGTTTTTTTTTTTTCATTTATAGACACATACACGTTTCGAGAGCATCTGGGTTAAAAATATTTAAAAAAGCATAACTTTAGAATTTCCCATAGGCAGTTCCGCGCGCTGGAGATTAAAATGTTTTATTCTCTATAGTGTTGCCACAACTGGCTTTGAAATTGATGGAGGCATCATGCGATATGCAGGCGCAGCTAAAATATATTCTGTAATGTGTTTGAACATGTGTAAGCACGGCATATGAACAGGTATAATGGATTTCAGTTAATAACACGTTAGCGTGCAAAAGTATAGCTGTACAGATGACAGGTGACGGAGGACGGGGACGCCTGATGTTTAACAGAGGTAAACAGGCATATGTCCCGCGCCCTCCCCTATCCAGTGGCAGCAACTCCCAGGAGCCTCATGAGGCTACCTCGGGAGTTTATTGAAGAATTTTACGTAATTGTACATGGCCATACAGATAGTCCACTCGAAGTGGTACTCGAAGTGGTAGGCCTAGGACTTCCTCTAGTGACAATAACATTGAAAATGTGAATTTAATGTTAACCAGAAGGAGCTCCGATGAATGCTAACACATGCAGGGATGTTCTGTCAAATTTATAGCAAATAATTCAGACGTTCAAAATACGCCGAAGCTGGCTTTTGATTGCTTTTCAATGATAATATTCGTTATAGTTACCCTTCGTCGTGAAGCAGTCTTTCACCTGTAGAGTTTTAATTTCAGTTTATTTTGATTATGGTAAAGCACACTAAGGCTATTTGCCTAAGGGGAGGGATGTCTTCGAGGAGGAATTTCTGAGGCAACATGGCTCGTATTTAAGTTACACATGAGAAAGAAACCAAAACGCTCGTGTTGCCAATGCGTTCTCCCGCAATCATGTCCAGGTCGAGTACTGTTCAGAGAATTTACCCCTCAGCCGCTGGTAGGCCAGTCTTGTAAAGATGTAGATGGCCTGTAAGGATTAGATGAGTACAGTGGGCTAGAGGAGCTGAAGCGCTCTACCCCGATGTGCTCGTCTAATCTCGCTCCAGCAGACTTCTTTCTGTTAACGCACCTGAAACAAGAAAAATTGATCAATTTTTGGATATTCCAGGCATTCAAAGCTATGTGAAGACGGTTCTCCATAAGATACTGAAAAGAGGACTTTGCGGGCAGTTTTCAGGAACTACACAGTCGTTGTCAAAAGTGCATTGCAAATAACGGGTGTTACCTCGAAAGAATTCGAAACAATTTTTTTCCTGATTTAGATTAGAGCATATTGTTTGCAAACATATTCACCGAACTTTATTGTCATGCCTTGTAAATATTATCACGTCGGCCAGATGCACAACTTCCTGCAATATTTTCAAATTTTAAAGCTTTTATTTTTTCAAGAATCCTTAATTTCAATTCACTGAATTTCAGGGTTTTGCGGATCATTATTCAGGATTTCAATATATTACGCTGAAATATAGCAATAATCATGTAATTTTCTATGTAATGACGGACATCTAATAAATTAATATATAACGAGGTTTTTAAGATGTTACATAAGAGCAACAATGTAATCTTTTCATTAGAATTTTATCAACGAATCAGCACAGTTTTTCCTGCAATTTATTCACTTTTTAACTAGTTATTACTCATTTTCGAAATTCTTTTATAGAAAATTCTTATGTATTTGAAAAGATATCTTATTTTACCTGAGTTCTGGCTATCAGTTTGGTTTATTTAAGTATTGCAAAACTCTCGAGGACTATCTGCCTAAGGGGAGGGATTTCTTCGTGGACGTTTTAAGGAAAACTAGCTCGCATATACGTTATACATGGGGAAAACCACGAAACATACATGGGGAAAACCGGTGCGCCTGGCTCTCGGCGTTTGTGAATGGCGTATATATACTGCTGGTGTCCAAAATCATCTTTATGCATATAAAAGTTATGATATTTTTAAGGACTATCCAATCAGTCAGATTTACGTTTTTGATTATAAGGGCTCCCGTTCAGTCACCAAGAATGGTTTGGTTTAGATGATTACGGCAAAGCCTCTAGGACCATTTGTCTAAGGGGAGGGATGCCTTCATGGAGGACGTTTTAAGAGAAACTGGCCTATATACACGTTACACATGCGAGATTCGAACCTCAGACCGAATTACCAGTGTTCAGCGACTTTACCACTCGCTCCTGGTGAGCCCACCAAGAATGATATTAGTCACAAAATAATATTAATTATTACTCGTAACTACTATTTAAGCTCATTTCTGTTAAAATTTCCAGTTTGTTTTCAATAAATTTAAAGATTAAAAAATAAAAATTAATTCTGTAACGCTAAAGCATGTAAATAAATACCCAAATTAAATGTAATAAATCCTTAAACGATTTCTTAATTAAATCAGTTTAAGAAATTACATGAAAGTTTGTTTCCCCTCTCCTTTCCTTCTAAAACATACGGTTATGTGTTTTGTTAAAACGATTCAAGAACACATTTATTGAACTGTAAGCTTGTAATAATTCTTTTTACGAAAAGTAAGTGTAATTCAAAAACAGATTCACTGTCCTTTTGTCGCAGAAAACTACTGCTAGTCAGATCCTAATTTTTCTTGAATTCAAATCTTAGAAAAAAAGTTCTCATATCTGTTAATCGTTTGTAGAAGGAAAAAAAGGGTGACTTTTATTTAACATTAATTAATATTAAAACATATTTAAATGAGGCAAAGTTTGGCCAGTGCATTTAATAATAACAGTAGAAATATAAAAAAATAAAAAAAACACAATTAAAAAGTCTGAAAGCTTTCAGATTTTATATAACGCCCAAAGGGGCGTTTTTTTTTTTTTTTTTTTTTTCATTTATATATTCATACACATTTCGAGAGCATTTTGGCTAATGTTCCTTTGGGCTAAAATTATTTAAAAACAGCACGTCTTTAAAATTTCCGATAGGCAGGCTCGGACACGGGAGATAAAATTGTTTTTTCCCCGTACGGTGTTGTCATTGCTCGCTTTGAAATCATTGAGTTTGTTAAACAAAAATTCGTTAAAGTTTTACAAAATATGAAACAGATGACAAAAAAATTCGAAATTCAAACTTCGGGAGTCGAGGTGCCCATGTTAGGGGGTGGAAGATTTCGTTATTCAAAATTTGATGGCTCTAGGAATCGTCGTTTTTTCATAGTGCGAGAAACCTACATATATTCATGCAGACTCTCCATTATTTAACTTCTTTAAATATGATACAGGGCGATAATAATTGGTGGCAATAATTTAGAAAGTAATTCGCTATTTATAATAAAACGCCCCAAAATGCTGTTTAGTCTCAAAACATTGGGCAAACAGCATTTTGTGGCTTGTTATTATTTGCGAATAAATTTAAGAACAAAGTTTTAAAAATGAGCAAACTTGTAAAAAGCATACGATTGAAATTCAGCACAGTTCGATAGAACTAAAATTCTGGTATTCTGGAGGTTCTTTTTTCGAAAAATATTTAATAAGCAGATCAGTTTTTTTTTTTTTTTTTAAAGCAAGTTAAGAAGTAGGAAGGGACGATTTTAAGAGCTAACATATATATAAACATTAAATATAGAGCTGAATGAACACTTCGACTAGGCGCCAATAAAAATGATCTTTTCAAAGCTTTGAATTAAAATGCGTAAGTGATTCTTTACGCTAGATTTGGCATTCGAATCTTGGGAAAGCCGAAAAAGCGTGGAAATTCAAATTTTCGATTCTGTAACGTTGAACATAAATAAAATTGTATTGGCAGTCCTGTGTTTTGTTTCGATATTTCAAATTAAAAAAAAAGAGTTTTAGTTTTTTAACGTAGGATCTACGTTTACTCACTGCGACCTTCGCTAGTAACATCACAGGTGCTAAAAAAATCCCGCTCTGTACCTGCGGTTTCCGGCTTTTGGCGACCTGTTGATGCGTTAAAATTCCAGCTTGGCGTCCAAATACAGAAGTTTGGTAGTTGTAGCAACCCTATTACGGCGTGTCGGTCACTCCGCTTTACCTTCGTACTCGTTTACAACTCGCTCAACTTCATTTCGAATATGTTTCGAAGGAATTGGTTGGTCGTAATTTTTGAAGACATGGTGTTCAACTGCATAATTTATTGACAACTGACAACAGTGTGTGACTCCTTGAATATGTTCTTCCTACTTTTGCCAGCAGCATTATTCTGGATATTTTAAAATAGCTAATATTACTGTTTGTGTTCTACAATTATAATCAAAAGTTATAACCGTTTCGGGGCGTTACCTGAGCGGCCTTGATAATTCTAACAAGTGTGCCTTTAAAAATTATCACCTAGCAGGTAAGTGCCTGTAAATTTTGTGCCCTAGCATGATTGGGATATGATATTTTTTACTTTTCATGTATTTTATTAGTTTGTATTTTCGAGAATAATATTTTATAATTATAGATTTGGTGTAAATCATATTTTAAGGCTAATTTGAAGTTCATAAACTTCAGGTATAATGACCTTTGATATTTGTTTTGATATGGGTTAGTTCCTGGCTTAAAGAAGAGAAGCGTTGGTTGCTATGGTAACAGTGAATCTAAAGGTTCAGACTTTTATTTACAAATGAACAGGGGATTTATAGTACACGCATAACGCAACATGAAGACGGATGTGGATAATACGGGCGCAGTATATTATAATACTTAAACCTATTTATTTTCATGCTTCGCTAATGTGTGGATTCATCGGTTGATAATCGACATTACTGGAGTTAAATTTAGAAATTACTAAAAATTTAGTTAAATGTCTTTATAAAAGCTGAAATACGATGCAGTTAATACATAAATTATATGATATTTATCGAATATGCGTTTGATATTTAAAGGCGGTAGTACAGTTGACAGTAAATACAACACAATTAATGCATTTTGCACACGTAATTATAACTTGTTTTCATGTATGATTTCTGTACACGGGAAGACTCGATTATTGTTTTATTTTCCTTAATTACTAAGACTGTGTGGATCTTAAGTGTTAGTTACTAAACGTTTAAACAAATGCAAGCAAAAGAAGTAATTAAAGAATTCAAGCAAAAGATGTTCTGAATGATTGTACGAGAGATTAATGCTTAAATATTCCACAGTACCCATTAAATAAATGCATATTCAATAGCTTTAAAACTGTTGCATACAGATATTTCGATGACGCGTTCTATCGGGTAGGTGATATATTATTCAATGAACTTTTTTTTTTCTTTGGTAATTAGGTTTTTACCGAGTCGGCTTTCTTTGGTAACTAGGTTTTTATCGAGTCGGCTATAGAAGCAAAATATGTGACAGCATCTACCAATTGCTGCATTGCATAGTAAATACCTGGAAAAGAAATTTTGAACGATAGTCGGTCATATCCTGATTACTCGCATTTTTCGGAGTCAAACTTACAAAACGTACTCAATATTTGTTGCCACTGATATAATTTTGCCGCCCACTTAGTACCAAAAGAATAGGAAATCTTAAGTTTTTTCATACGCTTGGTTTAAAAACTGCAGAAATATGTTTTTGTCTTGAACAAGGAAGACAATCTGCGTCCATTTTGATGTTGAGATATTGCAAGATACGGAACGTAGAAGTGATGAACTGTTGGAAAAAGAACGACACAAAACGAGAAATCCAAGGTTGCAACGTTTCCTAAAAAAGCGTGTAACAATTGAAAGTGTGAAACTATGATTTGTATTCCAAAATGATTTGTTTTTGTTACCTTTTCATCATTTTATTTTTAACACTGTGATGCAAGACAGACCATTCATATTCAAATGTGACTTTTGTAACAATACTTTTTAGTTTTAAACATATTAGGTTATTTAACTGCAATGTAAATGGTAAAGTATATATATATTCTTCAATAAGCTATGAAAAGTTTCTTAAAAAATGTTTATATATCATTTAAATTGCAGAAATAGTTTTATATCCTTAACGTTTAATCCCACATTCGATCGAACTTCATCAACGGCCAATAGGTTGAGGCCTCTAAACTCTGAAAGTTTGACCGGGGTTTGATTATAGGCCATCGAAATGTGGCTGCATAGTTCGTTTTTCCTATGTATAATGCGAATTCCTGAGCAATGTCTTCCACGAAGTCATTCCTCGGCTTATTGTTCTTTCGTGCTTTGCCGTATTGATCCACATTATTTTCTTTTAAAATTCAAGATTTGAACTCTGCTTAATTTAAATGATGGGAGAATTTGAGTTAATAAATTTCAATTTTTGTGTTAAAATAGCCTTCTCATTATTTAGAGATAATGGCATGTTGTAGAATGTGAACTAACGAACTCAATATTCGGGATACAAACATAATGGATGGACTTTGTCAGTTAAGTATTTGCGAACCTGGATTGATTTTGTCAATTAGAACGTAGTACTCAAGTATATCTATATTAATTGATAAATTTTTATCTATTAAAATCTGCGTTGTATTTAAAGAGTTACACGAGTTGCGTGTTTCCACAAATACTTGCGTTTTTAATTTGTTTCATTATGCGATTTTAATACTTCACTTTTGGAAGACTGATTTATTAGATTAAAAATAGTAACTTATATTTTCAAATTACTGATGCATGCAGTTCGTTTTATATATTTAAATTGAAACTAGGATTTAAAAAAGAAATTCTGAAGTTCTTATTTCGTAATTAATTTTTGCGCAGAATCTAATTCGAACTAGCATTTTGGTTAAAACTAATATGTACAAAAATGAACCATTTTGATTTTTTATGGAAAGAAGCCCGTTTACGGAAACTACTCCGCCACGTTTGGTTTGAATAAACTGATTTCTTGTGTAAATATAAGGTGTTATTTGATAAAATAATTCAAGCAGATTTTAATTAAGGAAGCGCTGTCTTCCGAAGCCCTTCGTCTTAGTTGAATCACAGTTTATTTTCCAGCAATATCATGTTCGAGGCTTCTTATTTTTCTTGGAAAGCAATGAACTGTTAAGGTAAGGGAAATATCAGCGGCATTTGTAGGTTATTCATGTGTTTGGAAAGCGAAGGCAGGATAAGCATAATTAATTTTACATCTCGTGCGAAAAGTGCTCGCTGGCTAATAAATTCGCCTCTTCAGGAAATTTTGAGAAATATTACCATAAAATATATAAAAATAGGAAGACGAGACTAAACGTCGCATTCCCTGCATTTGCTATAATTAACCTAACTGCTGTTAGATAAAGAATTGCGTGAGAAGTAGTAGGGTTTTGAACTCGGTTTTAGAAAGCATAAAGAAGAAATGAGTGATCTTACTATAAAAACCAAACAACGCTTTTACGAGAGACGCAATGTATGACATTTAAAACATTTTACCAATTATAGTTGGATATAATATAAATTTAAATATACTGTCTACTCACGATTTACTGCAGTAATATAGGGGACGGCGTCCGCGGGTAAATCAGAATCATCGTTAATCAGAGGATAATTGAAAAATACGAGACAGAAGATTAATTCATATTATGATTAACAGAAAAATTGTATTAACAACTTGCCTGCATTTTGAAGCAGTTTAATCAGAGATTAAAAGTTCATTTTGTCACGCCTCTTAAATCATTACTTAAAACAAGAACAACGTGCTGTAAATAACAGAAGAATAAATATCATTAGATATGAGGAAAACAACTGATAAATGACGGTAAGGATTAATATTTAAAGAATTTAAATCCGATGTTTATGGGTCAAAATGGCTTAAAAATAGTCAGAATGCGTTTATAAAATGCTTATTATTAAAAATTAATTATAAGTTGCGTATTGTTGTAAATTGAATTAAATTACATATTGTAGATTTAAAAAAATAACTCCCAATTACTTAATTTCATCTGCTGTCATTGCTATTATACCATGAAGTTTTCTTTCCCTTTAAAGTTCCATAGACATGCTAATTTCTTCATCTTTCCACAACAAATTTCTTTTAGACAAGGCTCAGTTAAACCATTTCAGTCTATTGGGATTTGAGTATCCGCCAAAGAGAGGGATGCCTTGTGGAGGACTTTATAGGGGAAATTGCACATAAAGAAAACCGCAAAAAGCTTGGAAACCAGCCCGCTTGGCGGGACTCGAACCTCGGACTAAACTGTTCAGCGATGTTTACCGGTTGACCGCTGGTAGGCCTATCTTTCGCTAATTGGAAAGACTTTCCTAGTTGTGTGGGATGATAGGTAACAAAGCGTAACGATCCAAAAATTTTGGAAGGAATAGAGGTGTTTTTTACATTAGTATTGCGAAAAACCATGTACTAATTATAATTCCCAAAATTAAGAGTATTTTGCGTGTTATAACAGTATTTCATTATTTAAATGTTTAATTTCGATTTTTCTTGGAACTGTACGGAAGGCAATAGCTATTTTACAGCTAAATACTGTTTATCATGAATTAATATGAAATCCCCCCCTTGCCGTGTCAAGTGAATCTGCATTTTCTGGCCGAACCATTATTAAGTTAGGGTTTTTTAATGCGAAAATAAATTGGCAGTAGAATTCAGCCACCGCATGTTTTGTTTGAAGCACCGTTAAAAAGAATACTGATCTAAAAATTATCCATTAGGAGTATCATCACTTTTATTCTGTTTGGAGCTTGAAAAGGAAACCAGAATAAGTTTTATAACGTCACGTTCTTGTAAACGACTCGTAAGGAACAAGATATACGAAACAAAAATTTTTTTGACTGGAGCCCTTTTGTTAAAAAAATCAGATGCTGACACCACATGACTTCATTGTGCGGCCTATTAAATTATACACATTTTTTTTGCTGCACTTTGCTCGAATTTCTTTAGAGATGTATTTCTCATTCAATCAATTCGGTTCAGGCAGAGAATACATAAAAACATTTTAATCAAAAATTGTAAAATACAGAAATACCTTAAACACAAAATACAACCAAAGAAACAATTTTTGCAATTAAAATAGAGTTTCTACACCAAAACAAGCAATTCTGCCAACGGGTAGAAAGACAGAATTTTCGGCTCACAAAAATTTGAAGTTAACGTTTGGGTTCCACTGTGCAAAAAGACACTGAAGTTAGTGCACTGACTGAATTCTTGGTATTACGGCGAGTTCCAATGTAAACAAATAGTGCCACATTAGGCCTAGCATGACTTACATTTTTAAATTGTTGATAATTCTATAACTTTTGCATGCAGATTAACTAAAGGCATACAAACCTTAACCGAAGTACAAGAACAACGTGACTTTATCACTTATAAAGCAAAAAATGTACAATTTGCCAACATATACGAATAAAAAAAGCTCACCGAGCCTGTTAAGAGGGTGGGTATATATGTATACGTTTGTCCCGGCCGAGAGCAACGATAGAG